ACTTCTAATACTGTTACAAAATTATTGTTATTCATCAAAAAAGCAAATCAATCGGGCAATGCTCTGTACGTAAAAGCAATCAACATAAAACAATCCAGCGTCAAAAGCAGCAAATGTACGATTGAAAATGAATAAGGACTCGATACCACAGACCCTAAATAGCCGTGATACTCATTGACGAATTGACCTTAAGCATAGCCCGGTATCCTGAGTCGCGGTCGATGAGCAGGCGTCTTCTCTCGCCTGTAGGAGTCGTTGTGCACGATGCCCCTTCCTCCGGTGCAGTGCAGATCAACGAGGGCAGCACGGATCGACGTGCGCCGTGGCGATTCCGCAGTGACGCGGCCACAAGCCGGCAGCTCGACGAACGATGAGCCCCTGTCACGGCGGTAACGCAGTCACGGGCCGTTCATGACAGCACAGCAGCAGCGGTGATGTCATCCATCGCTGAACTCTATTGCGAAGCGTAGACACGCGATATCCTCATGGATGTAGACAGCACCACAGCACTTTCTCCCGGTTAGGTGACAGCTGGACAGGTATCCTCACCGTGATGAGAGTTCCACGGACGACTAGATATAAAGTCGTTCTGTAGCTCGGATTGATTACACTATGTAACACGATTTTTGTTCCTGGGTAGTAAGTGTTGTTTCGTAATTGCTTATGCCTAAGAAGTATAGAAAATGACTATTATTCCCAACAAACTTTGTTTTGTGACCAGGACAGTGATATTTTGAAATTTACATGTTTTAAATGAGAAAAACGGCCGAATTTATGTCTTTTCGTTAACATAAAGATAGAAAAAAACAATATATTAATCAAAATTACCGTGTATTTATACTAAAGTAATACAAATATGACTACACAAGATTTAGAACTGAGTCGTTTTTCGAGATTTTACGATTATACTGTAAATCACTTTCACGAATCAGCCCCCAAATGTAGTCTCCCATCATGTTCTCGTTATACTGTCCTTGGTAGCGGCTTTCAAAGTCCAGTATATCCTGGTGGAAGCAATCGCCTTGCTCCTCCGAGTACGCTCCCATGTTCTTCTTGAATTTATAAAGATGAGCATCAAGGATATGGACTTTGAGGGACATCCTACAGCCCATTGTGCCGTAGTTCTTCATCAGAGTCTCAACCAACTCCACATCGTTTTCGACCTTGTGATTGCCCGGGAAGCCACGAACCACTGCGACAAAGCTGTTCCAAGTCGCTTTCTCTTTACTAGTGATCTTCTTGGGGAATTCATTGCACTCCAGGATCTTATTTATCTGTGGTCCGATAAAGACACCGGCTTTTACCTTTGCCTCGGAGAGCTTAGGGAAGAAATCTTGAAGGTACTTAAAGGCTGTCGACTCCTTATCTACAGCTCTGACAAATTGTTTCATAAGGCCAAATTTGATATGCAGTGATGGCATCAGCACCTTCCGGGGGTCCACCAGTGGCTCCCCACTTGACGTTGTTCCTCCCCAGAGAGAACTCGGTCCGCTGTGGCCAGTCCCGCCTGTGGTCGTGCGCCTTGGTGTCTAAATCTTTAATAGTATTTTTTTTATTACTTTAGTATAAATACATGTTAATTTTTATTCATGTTGGTTTTTTCTGACTTTACGTGAACGAAAAGACACAAATTCGCCCGTTTTCTCATTGAAAATATGTACATTTCAAAATATCACTGTCCTGGTCAAAAAAAGCAAAGTTTGCGGGGAATAATAGCTATTTGCTGTACTTTTGAGGCATAAGCAATTAGGCAATAACACTTACTACCCAGGAACAAAAAAAATAGTTACCCAGTGTTACGGCTTGTCGCTTGATTGGCACAGTTCAGTGCTTTCGGTGTTCTCTCCTCTGTGTGGATCTTCTCCTTGAGTCGTGCTCATCTCCACTTATTCACCAAAAGACAAAGACCCCTCCGGACTGTTGGGACAAGTGCTGCTAGCGAGTGACTATGAAAGCCGAGATGCCACGCGAGGGGGTGGGTGGCCAGCACCACCCCCGACCGCCTTTGTCTCCCCAGTGGCGATGTTTACTACACACCGCACCAGGTACTCATATGAGGCTAAGTCAACCGAGGGGAGACCCAGAACCGATTCAGATATTCATCACTGGTGTTGGCTGTGAGCAGGAATCGAACCCGGGATGCGCTACGAACCCGGCAACCCGGGTTCGTAGCGCATCCCGCTAACTGCGACACTACCGCTCCCCATTTATTCACCAACGACTCTTTAACACTTCACTCTTAAACCACGGAACATCTTCAGATACGGTTGAACTAGCTCCACCGCTGTATTACTTCTCAACACTTGAAGCTCTATAGCTTATTGTTGCTGACTACATTACAGCGGTGTTACAGCTCATCTCTCTCTTCTGCTCCTCCACTGCCTCCCACTACCCGTCCAGTGGGGGGTGGCTCTTTGTCCCGACGGCGGACGGCCCGTGTCTCGTGATGATGGGAGCGGCTTTTCAAGGGTCACGAAGCTATCGCGCTCGACCGACGCGAACCACGCAGTGCCTTGGCCGCCGCTTGTCTGCCCACAGTTCAGTGGTGGCCATGCGTGGATATACATACTGAAATCACGAATTGACCAATGTATACAAATTATTTGTTTCATTGTTTATCAGGTCCTTCCCGTGAGCAAGGGCTGCCTCTCTTTCCTATTAGTGGAAGCTTTCGCGGTATGGTGCCTCCCTTTTCGGAGGTAGATGGTGTTCGTTTTTATTTTGATAATGCCGGGAGCCATTAATTTCATGTTCGGCAAAGTGGGGTGTTCCTTCTCTCCCTCTCAGTGGCCCAGTCAGCTCTCAACGCCGAATTGTGTTGCGACTCTTAAGGTCATTTTTACTCCGGTGTGTGAGCCTCGAGGCGTCTCAATTAAAAAAAACCACACGAATAATAACAACCGTTGTGCATCCACATCAACCAACGCATTATTATAACTCAACCAATCTGTTCAACGGTATACCCACGACACCACCTCCGAGGTAAAACAAAAAAACTGGCACACACCGTGGGAAGATGAAGAATATCTCACGACACTGGAATGTGGAAGAGCTACCGTTGTCCTGCGCGGTGTTTTATTACGCAACTGAAAACAAAGAGAGCACTTAAGAATAAATATATATGCAGGGTCAGCCACTTCAAAAATAAAAGGGACGATGCTGGGAACAGCAGGCCAGGTGGTTTAACACATGGAGAGTTTGGGTGGGTGGGGGGTATTTTGACTTAAAACTTTCGTGACTGCAGGAATTAATATTCTTTCGTTCTTTCGGTAAAGTCACGGAGATAGAAAAAAAATATTTAAAAAATACTGTATTTGTATTATTTTTATTATCATGTTTTCTATCTACGTGACTTGACCGAAAGAACCGAAGAATAATGGTGGGGGTAGTCGAGGGAATTTGTCAGTTTTCGATTCTACTTTATTCTTGGGATGATGGAAATATGATCAGGAGCTGATTGCCAACGCCGAGGTCTGCTGGTCACGAGCGGAGTCCACTCAAATACCTCATCAGATCATGTTGTTTCCTGGCCCTCAAAGGGGCCTTTTCTTCCGCATTTAGCTCGACTCGTCAGATCTGGATTCGAATTAAGGACGTCCATTTCGCCCGGATGACGGTGTCAGTTGTGCTCAAGGTGGTGGACACGGCAAGCCGATTGGCACGGTTGGTTGGCTACGTACGGTGCGAAAGAAGTTCAACATACACGCATACAAACACGTGACGGGTGGGTCCATCGCGAGAAGGGGACCCCCACCGTTACCCACCCAGTTCACGATTTTACAATATTTGGTTTTGAGATTAAATTGTGTGAAGTGCAGTTTGACGCCATACGGCGCAGTAACACTCACGCGATCAGACCCGAAACACAATTATGAATCATAACATTGACCGCAAAAATACACGTGTTAAATTGCCCCACGGCCACCCCAGGTAAAGGCAAAATGTGATGTTGCATTGGTGTACAGCTTTTCCCCGTGGTAGCTCACGTGGTAGCTCACGTGGCGCAGCAGAACTCGCAGTGACAGGGCTGATTGTGCCATCGCCCTGATGAATCACATGACTCCGCATGCACAATTGCAACAGCGCATTCCACTCCTGTCCCATCCCTGCAATTGCAACAACCACAATTACCGTATACGAGCAGAGCGCGCACTGTGTCCGGATGCTGCCGCCGTGTAAAATGGACTTGAGCCCAATGGACTTGCAGTCCAGGGGTCGCCGGTTCCATTCGAACTCCCGGCGCGGTAGTTGGAACGGTGCAGGTTTCTTAAATCTCACCCCACCGCCTCTATCCACCAAGAAGTACAGATGGGTACATCACCGTCGATCGGCAGATCATGTGTGGCGGGGGAAAGTGTGGTGGGTATTTCCAGTTCTTGCGATGCATCTGGCGAGCGTGGAAGAGTAGGCCAAATGTTATCGAGAAGAGGCTTTTTACAGCTCCGTCTAGTGGAGGCCCTTCCGCCAGGAGTGGCCTTAGCAAGCAATTCTAGGGCTGCCTTTTAACCTTTTTTTCTTTCAACACTTACCTTCTTTGCATTACTGCATACACAAATCCATTTCAAACTTCTAAGAAATTCTAACTGACGCGCCACGGTGGCGAGATGCAAATTACCTTGCCTGGTATATAGGAGCACATGGGTTCGATCCCGAACCTTACGCCTGCTGTATATTTTGAGTATGCATGTTCTCCCCGTGCTATAAATTTCCACGTGACAAGCCACTTAGTTGCGGTATCATTTGTGACCAGGTCGCTTCTGACAAAGAGCCGTAGAGCTCAGAGGGCCTTACCTTGTAATATTTTTTTTTAAAAAGTGTATGGTTTTTAGTTTAGCTGTTGCAGAAGCATTTGAATGAATCGGCCGCATTCAAATCGAGATAAATTTCCCCAACCAAATTCACAATAACGTAACACGGTGGTGATCTATTCGTCGGGGGCGTATTCAAATAGAGCCACTGTACTGCGATTTAGCTGCAAGCAACGTGAGTTGAGGACGGGGTGGCTTGGTCACATTATGCCCCTAATTGCATGCGATTGTGACTGGTGTGCCTGGTTGGGTGCGTGCTTGCTCTGCCCTCATGCTGGCATGAGCCCGCTGATCACATGAAAGGCTTACAGTGTGCTTGCTTGCTGCTGCCACGGCTGGTGGTCATGCTTCACGCTGGGTTACTGGCAGCTGGCTCAGTGGTCTGGGAAGAGAGAAGATTCCACAGAGGGCCAGGAGAGAGCCAAAAACCATCGTTGTCTTTCTCGACTCTCAGCCGGAAAACATCTCCCAGCCGGACAACTTCTGATGACGGTAACCATCCAGTGCTTTGCTCCCGGCGCAGCGTTAATCAGCTCGGCACGTGTCAAGCAGGCTGCAGTGTGCTGCTGAGAGACCCCCGTCCCCCCCCTCTCTTGTTATAGAAACTTATCCTCCGCCACACTTTCCACATGATACATCGTTGGAGCAAGGGCTTAACTCTTTCACTCGAAATTGTCTGCAAATGCTGCTAGGCTGGCTTTGAGTCGTGATTATAGGCGTACGGCACTGCCATGAAAGTACAATGTTATTTAATGTGTCCTGTATTCCTAGGAGAGTATTAAGATAAAATAAGGGCACAGTAACGCAGCCTTTCTAATGCACAGCGGCGGGGGGGGGGGATGCACGAAAGACAAAAGCAGATCGTATCGTTACTCATTGTTTCACGATTGACATTTGTTTAAAGTTTATTTAACATTGACTGCGTCGTGCCCCCCCGCCCCGAGTGGTATATATGCCCCCCTTTAAACAAGCTTACCCTGGTACAGGGTTGCCATTAGTGATGAAGTAATTACGGATATAACCCTATTAAGTCTGTAAGCTCTTTCACGACCTCGCGTGAGCGTCACCGAGAGATAGAAATTACAGTAATGTTCTAAATGGGCTGGAGATCAACACGTTGTATTTAGTGCGTTATAGAAAATAATGCGATGCACACACACATTTAGTATGTATATTATGAGTTGTGTAATGAAACGTTTTCGGAAATGGTTTAAAATCTACTTTACCGATGTTCTTTCAAGACATCTGATCAGAATACTCTAGATTGCAGAAGAGCTCTCTTTAGGTCTGACAAGCGCTAAATCAGGTTTGTGGGTTCATAGTCCAGGTTTGTGGGTTCATAGTCTAGGTTCGTAGGTTCATAGTCGAGGTTTGTGGGTTCGCAGCCTAGATGTGTGGGTTCATAGCCCAGGTTTGTGGGTTCATAGTCCAGGTTTGTGGGTTCATAGTCTAGGTTTGTAGGTTCATAGTCGAGGTTTGTGGGTTCATAGCCTAGATGTGAGTTCATAGTCCAGGTTTCTGGGTTTATAGTCCAGGGTTGTGGGTTCACAGTCTAGGTTTGTGGGTTCATAGCCTGGATGTGTGGGTTCATAGTCCAGGTTTCTGGGTTTATAGTCCAGGTTTGTGGGTTCATAGTCCAGGTTTGTGGGTTCATATTCCAGGTTTGTGGGTTCATAGTCCAGGTTTGTGGGTTCATAGTCGAGGTTTGTAGGTTCACAGTCCAGGTTTGTGGGTTCATAGCCAATGTTTGTGGGTTCATAGTCCAGGTTTATGGGTTCGTAGTCCAGGTTTGTGGGTTTGTAGTCCAGGTTTGTGCGTTCATAGTCTAGGTTTGTGGGTTCACAGTCTAGGTTTGTGGGTTCATAGTCCAGGTTTGTGGGTCCATACCTTAAGTGTGTGGGTTCATAGTCCGAGCATCAGGATTCTCAGTCCGGTTTCTGCATACAGGGAGTTCATGGTGCAGCCTGCTGGTCAACGTTGTGTTCAAGTTGGAGTGCACAATGATCATCATCTGATAAAGGTGTTGCAAGATTTAAAATTAGGCTAAATATGTATTTTATAGTCTATTTTATATATTTTGAGCTCTTTACTATTTTGTGGACATACAATGTCCATGATGTAATGTTGTGTTTCCTTGTGAAGCGCTCTGTAACGATTTTATTGTGAAGGGCGCTGTGTTAAATACAGTTTGAGTGATGGCCAACAAGTGGCTGTACCTTTACCTTAGGAATGAATCGTAATTCATCATTGCGAAAGCAACACGTGACTCTTCCATGTTTGTGAAGATACTTTTGTGAAGAGAGTGGGAGTGAGAATAGATGATTGTGGAACTCCATAGCCCAGGCTATTTTGACAGCAGGCTAGCCCTTGTACCACAAATGTCAATATGTACACGATTACTGAAGACATTTAAGAGAAGCGAAATGGTGTTGAAAAGTGGCAGCAAACTCAAATAATTAAGTTTTTACCGATCCATAATAGAGTTTTTTGGGTTAGATCGTGTAAATATAAATGTATTGTTAAACCCGCCACCACCCAACACAGCCAGTTTCTACTGATTACGGCCTATGTAATGGGCATGATAATTAGTTACTGAGACCAAAATGTAACTGGCTTACTGTGAATGGCCCTCATGTTTTACCAGTACAAACTGTGCTACTCCCTTACAACACATCTTTAAATGTAACTTCATGTATTCTTAAATGTCAGTTCTTGCCCGAGTAAAAGTGTTGCTTGTTCGCATCTCGATTGCGGTATTCATATTTATACGACCGTATTTATATCAGCTGAAGGTTTATGTTTCGTAGAGGAGCGATTCTGCTGCACAAATTGGTTGGCAATGGCACTAAGTTTAGGGGCTTGATGTTCTCGCTTGTGAAGTGATGTTATGGAACAACTTGGAATGTTTCGAAAGACAAAATAAGATAAACGGTCTCCATGCTCAAATGACTAATAAATATAGCAGGCAATGTCCCCTTCAAAATGAAACAATAAGAATAGGTTTTACAGAAAGGGTAAAACCTATTCATATTTTTTCATACTTTGATACTGGCAAAAAGGTCCCATTTTGATGTTATTGATGAGCGAGTTGAGTTGCTTTCTTATTTGTGCACCACTACCCAATACAGCAACAGCACCAATATGTTTAACATTAATACGTTGAATATGAATTGATGTTCTCATGGAGAAACTATCACCCGCCATTGGAATGTGGAATTTACAACCAACACAGTATCTGGTTTCAGGCAACTATAGAGGTGACCAACAAACCTCTGCTTGTTTGTCCCTCTCGCCTGTCCCGCCAGCCAGCCAAACTTTTTTCAATCACATACAGTACTGTTTTGTGTGACACTCGCATATAATTCCCCCCTTCATCGGCACCATTGTTTTCCTCCAGCAATGATCCCTATCGTCACTAGATGCCAATAACAATACCCCGCCAATCGCCACGAAGTGGCTGTGACGTCACCACGGCGCCTGTGCCAGGCCAGGTGCACTTTGAGGCCACGTGGAGTGTCCGAAGGCCTCGCTGACAGGAGGTCACGGGACAGACCCAGCAGGTGCCATGGGTTTGCCTGACTGAGATCACTAGCAGATGCTGCCAGCTATACCCCAATATTGTGCGAACTTCCTTCACTTTAGCCACCCGGCGCTCCGCTCGTTGTTGTGAGCGTCGCTCCTACCCCCTCCGTTGTTGTTGGAGGGCGACTACCTCCAACTGCCCAATAGCGTCCTTCACGAGCCTCCTCCTCCACAGAGGCCGATCGTGACACCGCTGGTACCGGTCATCGGCAAGTCCATTCAGCTCCACTGGATGGCGACACGCACACACACGTAATGTAGTAAAATATATTTATAACTAGCTTTTTTTCCCGTCCAAGGACGGGTGGATATTTCAGTAAATTAGAAATATTCAATAGAAAAATTGTTCAGCTCATGATTATTAATGAGGGGGAGGGGGTTGCCCATGTGGAGTGACGTCACCCGCTAATGGTTATTGGGGAGGGGTGCGGCATGTGGAGTGACGTCACCCCCTCATGGTTATTGTGGAGGGGTGTGGCATGTGGAGTGACGTCACCCCCTCATGGTTATTGTGGAGGGGTGCGGCCTGTGGAGTGCGCGACCTTGTGCGTTCGTGGAAATTTCCACGCGGGGATGAATATTAATGAAGGGGGGGGGGGGGCTCTTTTGCAGTGACGTCACGCACAGATGTAGCACTGTGCTGGATAGATTTATTTTTTACCGTCACTTTCTGTAAAGAAACGTCACATTTGAAGCGACTTTGCGTAATACATTATTTAATTCAGCTCGACCTTCCTCTGCGTTAGTGTAAAAAATCCACTCACTCATGAATATTAATGAGAGGGGGTGGGCCTCATGTGGAGTGACGTCACGCGGGGGACGGACAGACATTTCCGGGTGATTATAGGTAATTGGCGACGTTTCGGGCAATGGCCCTTCTTTCATGGGCTATGAAAAACGTCGCCTATTGTATATTTTGCTTCTTTTAAGGCCACAGTGTGCTTGACGAATGTGTTGAGTTGTTTGTAGAGTCTGCTTGTGTGCCACTGCCAACGCAGCAGCAGCAGCAACATCACGAAATGTAATTTGTAATGTACAGTCCTTAATGTTCTTTGGATATTTCGGTAAAGTCACGGAGTATAGGTTCAAATTATAATAAAAATAAAATAAGCAAAAAACTACGTTTCGATCACAACACAAGCTGTAGCTTCCCCCCTCTTTTTTCCTCCTGATGACAATCGCGCTTGTGTTGTGATCGAAACGTCGTAGTTTTTATTTATTTTATTTTTTATTAATTTGAACCTATCTACGTGACTTTACCGAAAGACCCAAAGAATATGAATTACTGCAGTCACGAAAGCTTTAAGTCAAGATTTTACAGTCCGAAATATTTGGTGGGCATGTCATAATGTAATCGATTATAATTATCAATCGACGCATGTCCGTTTACTTAAACGATTAAGCTCGGCCGAATCTAGGCAGACGCTAATTAAACTCGGGTGCTAAAATTGTTAAATGTATGACAGACAAAATCGAATGGTTATTTAATGTACGTAAATTTGTTTACAATTAATCAACCGTACACAACAAATTAGTACGGTAGTCCAGTTATAACACATTCCTGCGGAGGGAGCTGGTAGGAACGTTGGGTTGCTCGGTCAATGGCCAGGGTCAACGGCACCACCACGTGGTGTATTCCGCAAATATGCCCGACTGTGAGGGCGGGCACAAGCCGGCGTGAGTAGGTTAAACGTTGAGTTTTATAAGGGCACCACGGGGTGACCAGCCCCTCCCCACCCAGCTACACCCCTCCCACCCAGCCCCACCCTCCCTACCCAGCCCCTCCCCACCATCCCCTCCCACTCAGCCCCTCCCTCCCCACCTAGCCCCGCCCCACCCTCCCCTCTCCACCCAGCCCCTCCCCACCCAGCCCCTCCCCACCCAGCCCCTCCCCACCCAGCCCCTTCCCA